TGGTATTTTTGAAGAAAATTATTTTCTATTTGGTTTAAAGTATTCGATCACATTACTTCTTCTCTCAGGGTTAAATACATTATTATTCAGAAACTAATTTTTGCGGAGTTCACTTAGCCGATCGCACATTAAAACAGGGCTTATTTGGTTTTTCATTTATAAGCATCTTCCAGGAATGTGATTGAATTAATACCGGCCGATTTTTACGATGATTTTCAATTTTTACCGAACAGTCGACCGTATCTGCCTTGTCATAATTTCCGTAGATCTTATGCTGCACTTTGTGATTTTTATGATCAGCCGTTTCGTGATGAGGTTGTCTGGGTATGCCTTGTATTTTAATAACTTCTTTTTATCGACAGGCGGTTTTTTGTGGCTCAATTGATTTGCATTTGGATGATTCTTTCTTTTTCAGGATATTGAAAAAATATACGCTACTCATGGACTGCATATTTTAAGGCTGGATGATTTCACACATTTGCTTCCAAGGTACTTTCGTTTGCTAGAAATATTACTCTTTGTTCTGTCGCTTGGTTTAAAGTAAAAATTAGTCGTATTTAAGCAATGGGCGCCAAAATGTTTGAGGAAAATCTTTATGGAAATAAAATTGTTGACTTTAAACATTTTTTTGCATTAGAATAATTGCAGAGATCTGCTTCCGATCGTTGCTGTATGTCAATATTCGTGCTATTTTACGGGGCTGTTGATAGACGATTATAAATTGTCTGTTGACCTTGTCGATGTTATTTTATCAGTCATTCGATATTCTCATTCTTTTACAGTTCTTATTCTCCGCAACTGTTCACTTCCGAAGTTTGTCAAAATTGCTTCTTTTTGGCAATAATTTCATAGTTGGGCTTCTTAAAACATAGGACTAACTGGCCTGACTCATGTTAAGCCAAAAATTCATTGCGACATCGTCCCAGGTCTGTAAGCTGTTCTTTAATTTTAGCCAGCAGTTTTTTCTCTATTCTTATAAAAGAAGGCAAAAATGAATTTTTGCTATGCAAATGATGCCGTTTACAGATATTAGCTATCCCTTACAAGGATGAAAGTGACCCCACTTTCAGGAATTTCATAAGAAGCTGGGCCTACCTTCAAAGCTTGCTTGAGAACTAAGGCAGATGTGGTTTAAATTAATAGCAGTACCGTTGGAGCTGCGTTTTTTTCTGGTTGGGCGCACTGACCTTCTGAAGTACGAGGTTTATACGTCTTGCCTAGCGTGTGTCTGCATTAGAAACTGTTGGTTTTGCTGGCAACGCAGTATCCACTTGCTGCACTTAAAGCGAGCATCATGTCCTTCCATTGAATTTTAACCTGTGTCACAATCCCAACGATATCCTTCAATCCAAATGTATGGCGGAGAGTCTGATTGCTTATACGATAACGAAGAAACGCTCCAAATAATCCTCCTTTCCACCGCTTCTCCCGTGACAGTGGGAATTCTGCGTGTCCCCAAATCGATGGCATATGAAAGAACAGACTTTTTCCAACGTAGCAGTGTCTTTGCATTGCAGCGTATGTTCCAAATTGCGTGTACTACTTCGTAAGTGTTATTTTGCGCTGACCAGCCTACCCAGTTAGCATTTCCCTATTACATCAGCCCCTTAGTATTTGTTTCATCGTAGTACACTTTCACTTCAGTGAGACATGGGACGGCTTTTCCGTTGATGCGGTGCAAATGACTGTGAATGATTTCAGGGATTTCGTAGCTTCATTTGCGAATGCTGTACAAACTAACATATCTCTTCGCCTTTCTGAAATCGATTTTTCCAGGAATGTTCTGGATGATAAAAAAAGTTTGTTGCAATTCACACTTCCAAACTGTGCTGGTTTTGGCGCTTCGTACGATCAGTGAGTGTGCTTCCTGTTTCAGGTTTCGTCGCCTTATCTTCTGTTTTCCCGAAACTCACTTCCCTTCAGTCGTTAACATTGGCTGAGTGTGCTTTGTCTGAAAAAATTATCAATCAAGTGTGCTGTGGTATTTTGCAAGGAATACGGGCAAATGCAACTCCGGACTGCAAGCACTTCGTTTCGCTCGATTTTTCCGGAAACACTTTAAAAGATGTAAGTCTATTTTTCATCTGCGTTGATTCGAATACTGCGAAGAGGGGTTCAGGATGGGGAATCGATAGTTTTGAGTAATATTTCACAAATCTGAAAAGAACAGACAGAAAGAAAGATTTTGTAGATAACTATTTATCATAACAGATTAAGACCGTTTTTTCTTTAATTATGTGCGCATAATTAAGACCTCTTGACTAGATTCCAGTGGGGTTTAGAATGTCTTGAGCCAGTGTTGTATACGACCAACTCCTTGCTCATTTTCACCTGTAAATTATTGGTGCTGTTATTGAAGGGTCTAAGAGAACGTTAACAATTATGGTAAAGGAACCTGTAAGGCTAGGAAAACTAGAACAAACAGGGATATAATGCCTGAATGATGGGTAGGCTGACTGTCTGGGTATTGCAGAACCCGTGAAAAGAACTATTGGGATTATTGAAGTCTGGAAGTGACTGTTTGTTTTCGTAATTTCAGCTTTTATAAAATTGGTTTCAGGATGTAAGTGATTTACTGCAGTTGTTGTCTTTATGCACCAGCCTTCGAAGTCTGAATCTCTCCGATACCGGTTTTAATATTGATAAATTGTGGGCATCGCTCATATATGGTGGTTTACAGCTCGAAATAATAAAGTAAGTTTTAAAAAATTTTTTATTTTCACGAAAAATCCGGAGAACCAGCACTGTTGGCGTGGATTCATCAATCGTCAAGTATTCCCCAAAGTCATGGGTCATGGGAGCTCGTATACTTCATGAGAGTTTATGTTTTCTTCTGATGCCTGATCTTTCCTCGGGCCACTTTTTAATTTCAGTCCTTTAGACTAAAGAATTCCCGTTTTCAGTCTTAGCGTCGCTTTTCTTTTATGTTTGTGAAAAAAATGTAAAAAAAATGCACAGAATACTAAAAAAAAAGTGGAGTTGCATGAATTCCTCTCTTTTTTTGTACATTTGAAAAATAATTTCGGAAATCTTGAATTTCATATGGTAGCTTGACGTGTTAATTAAATGTACTTGCCCATATGCAGATCTCGAGCAGTAAGTTCAGAAGCATAAGTCAGCAGTTACAAGGAACAGTGATTTAAAATTTTTTAGCATTTTTTGAATTATTCGTTTATGTGTATATACTTTCAGATTGGCAGGCTGCCAATCAGGTCGTCGCGGCAAAGAAAGCGCCCAGCAAATGAAGGAGTACTTTTCAACAGCCGTGGCACTA